GGCTTTAGTCACTTTCCAACCGCCGTTCATTTATTCATCTTAAACAGATCTATCTATCTATCTATCTATCTATCTATCTATCTATCTATCTATCTATCTCTCTCTCTCTCTCTCTCTATATATATATATATATATATATATATATATATATATATATATTATAAAATTAATTGATTTAAAATATGTTTTTCGCTACACAGTTCTAACCATGTTTCAAAAATGGAAGCTAAAAAAGCCACGAATTTAATTTTGTGATTAAATTAAAGACATTAGTTCCATTTCATCCTCAAGCGAATTTTGGAGTAACTTTTAAAATTACTGGGTTTTAAATACAAAACTAAAACAAAATTCATGTTTCCAAGGTTACAGATAAATCTATTTTTCTAGACAGGGGTGGCTGGGTTTTCAATATGTCTATAATTTAATGTATCAGTTATTGCTACGTTTGGGTCGTGGGAAGGATGTATTTTCAATGAAATCTAACTTCCGTTAAAGCCTGTTGTCTAGATTTTTAAAATTATATTGTTAACGGCTAAAATTCTTACGGCATTTTTTTTTTCCGTATATTTAAAGTATATTAAGATTTTTTTAAAATTTTATATTTAAATATTACTAAAGTAAAATTTTCATTTCTCTGATTTAGTAGACTTTATTTATTTATTTAATTACAAATTAAAAGAAGTTTAGGTTAGAATTCATTTTAATTAACTACAGTTTTAATTACAACTTTAAAATATTTTCATTATTAGTTTTTATAGACTATATTTCATTTAATAGAGGTAAAATGTATCCGAGTTACTTACCGTCAGTAAAATTATTTTTCTATATCAAGTATATTTATATTACGATTCGGATACATTTTACTTCTATTAAATGAAATATAGTCGAAAGTTCATTGCTAAGATTTCATTTTCTTGCATTTCTCGCTTGTGGAAATCTCTACGGACTTCTTGCTTCCCAGACAACTTAGATCTTCAAAAATGTAAATGAATGGTCAATCGTTATCTACTGTCTTCTTAATTCTTGTTATTTTATTCTTCTCTATAGCTTACACATCTCGTTGAAACACCGTTTCCCGTACGATCACCGAATTTAAGCAACGTCGGGTCTTGCCAATATTTAGATGGGTGACAGCTGGGTAATTCCAATAGCTGTAAACTTGGATGTGCAGGTGGTGTAATGGATAATAACTTGAAATTGTTAATCGGAGAGCCAAGTTCTAATCCCCGTTGTACTCGTTATATTTACTTACGTGCAAATACTTTTAGGGAAGGCATGAATCCACCTCTTCTCACTACACTAGCTGTTGGTTAATTAGTAAAACTTGTATAATTAAACCAATATTATCTAAAAAAAGATTCTTACAATCATTTTCTTGCTTTAAATAACCAGATAAGGGTTTATAACCCGTAGAAAAGGAATCAATCAATTAATTATACTTCTCTCCCTTTAATGATGAAAGTTAGTTCACTGTGCCGTGCCAAAACATTTTTTCTCGTCAGAATCCATCTTGCACATATACAAATCTACCATTCGTCCGTGTATTGAATACTGCTGCCATATCTGGTCCGGTACTCCTGCTATATATCTTGAGGTTCTTGACAAAATCCTAAGAAGGATCTGTAATGCAATGGATCCTGAATTGGCATTATGTCTTCTTGGCCTCAGGTTTTTGCACTGAATTGAAGTAAAGCAACTACATCGAATCAACAGCTGCATCTACTGCAAGGAAACTTAGTTCAGTGTGTCGTGCAAGCAATTTTTCTCGCCAGAATCCATCTTGCTCATTTACTATTCGTCCGTGCATTGAATATATTTCCTATATTTGGTCTGGCGATGCAGCTGCACATCTAGAAATCCAAAGAATTATCTGTAATGTCATCGATCTTGATCAAGTATCTTGACTTCAGTTAATATCTCACAGACTTGACGTGGCTTCCCTCTGTCTTTTCTACATTTTTTTTCCATTGTACCTGCTCTAATGAGTTTTTTCACATAATAATTTTGGACATAATACATAAAAAAAGATAGAGTAGGCAATAACACTTTCATATGTTTAACGTCTGCTTCAGGGAAATATGAAAAAATAAACTCGTCAATTAAAATATTTTCATTTGTACTTACTTATTACTGTAATTAAAAATGTGCATTGATATTTATTATTGTTATTGCAATATTTTGTTAAAATTTTTAAGCACAAATATGTAATGATGAAAATGGGGGATAATTTCTAAAGGTATTTTATGGCCGTACAACCCACAGGGATCTTATTCAAACCTTAAAATTAAGATTTATCAGAAAATTAAAATAGGCACACCTTGAAGCTTTCTCATGTATTTTTAATTACTATTAATAGATGATGACGATGATGATGATAATCATCATCATCATCATTAACAGTATGCTACATTTATAAGGGCCAGAACAAGCCCCAAATGATATATTTGGGCAGTAGCTGTCCAGCCCGTGCTTCCCAGTCTTGATAAAGTTCGAAAGCGTCTCCGAGTCCTGGTTGGAGCAGAACTATTTTCACACTCCAACCTCTCTTTCACAGGCGTATCTGGAGGTTGCGGAAAGTTGGGTCAGTACTCTATCGTTACTACCATGGAAAGTGCTCGGATGAACTGTATCTTCTGGTTCCACCAGGTCTAACCTTTACGGCTAGGACCCGCCATGCCAGTTACATAGTAGCACGCCACCCACATTCCCTTCGTATTTCATCGGCGCGAAGTAAGTTCCACTCAAACGGCTTCTTGCAAATCACTGCCCTGTGGAATAGACACCTAAGAGAATGTTTCCCCGATCACTAAAATGTTAATATGTTAAAATCTAGAATCCACCGTTATCTTCTCTTATACATTTAAACTACCCCTTAACGTAACCCTCTGCCTCGAGTGGCCCCCGGGCATTGTAGAGTGTGAACATTACTATAAAAAAGAATGACAACTAAGTCTACCAACATAAATACTATGGCAATTCATGACTACCAACAAGGGAAAATACTATAGCTATTAGGATAACTAATTTTATTAATGCTTTTAAGGAAATGAGACGTATTTATCGTAATGAACATTCCACGAGGTCGATGTCCTTGACAAAAGAGCACGTGACTCTTCAGCCCGCGAAATGGCGACCGGCGATCCGATCATCCATTGGCGTTAAGTAATTGGCGAACTTCCAGCGCCTGAAGCCCCTAGCCAATACACCCCGTCGCTTTTTCCTGCCACTATCTGGTCACTCGTCCATCCAGCCATGATATGTCACAAGAAATGTCATCTGTTCGGACACCCATGCAGGCCTCAGGCCTGAGTTGTCTTATTTGAGGAAGAAAAAAAAAACGTTAATTTTAATTTATTTTCTTTTTTCGCCATTTTTCTTTTGTTTTTCATCATATTTCATTCGGTGCTTTTCTCGATTGAATTCTGAGCGTTTTCTTCCTTACTTCCGGTTCGGTAGCCATCATATTTTTTATGGATGTGCGGGCTTCCTGTTTAGCGCTCCTTCTGTTTTGTTTTTCTTCTTGTAGTCTTCCCCCATTTATTTCTATTATCATCCCTTTCGTGTTCTTCTCAACTCTCAAATACTTCTACAAAACCATCCACTGCTTTTGTAATTATTTTAACAACACTTTCTTTATTCTTAAAATGAAATTTTCTACTGATGCAGACGTTTAACTTTTCAAAACAGCATTTTTTAATCAATTCATCCCAAAACTAAGATTCAAGAGGCTGCTGGTATTCGTATGAGAATGAGTAAAATTTAGAAGGGATCATAAACAGGAGCAGGATAAAGGGATAAGACCTTTGAAGAATATGAAAATGATATATATATATATATATATATATATATATATATATATATATATATATATATATATTTTTTCATTCCTCAACGGTCTTTGGAAAAAGAGGAGAGGTTTATCACTTTTTCCTGCTTCTGTTTCTGGTCCCTTCTAATTTTATTCATTCTCTTCCTTTTCTTTGTTACCCGACATATATATATATATATATATATATATATATATATATATTATTTATTTAAATTTTGTAATATGATTCCATCGCTACATAAGTTCTCAGGTTTCAATAAAGTTTTCGGCTTATTGAAGTTTATTGAAGTTTTCGGCTCTTGTTTTGAAACATGAGAACTCTTATGAAGCAATGGAATCATATTTTAAAATAAATAATTATATTTAGGCTCTACTTTTCTATAGAGCACTGTTTTTTAAGAATAATCACAAAAATACTAAAGAACTTTGGATTATTTACCTAACGAGTTCTTTCCTATTTTCTATAACTTTTCACACACACACCCACACACACACATATATATATGTGTGTGTGTGTGTGTGTGTGTGTGTGTGTATCGGCTGTAACAGCAAAATTCTACAAATCATGTAACTCCATAATTGTCTAGCCTACAAAATGTTTAATATGTAAAAAAAAAAATAAAATAATTGAGGTTGTTTTAGATCTTTTCAGATAAAATATTTAGCCATCTTGACACGATTTGTCATAAGAATTACTGAAAAACCCTTTATTTATTCAGCTTGAAAGAGAAGAGGTTAAAATCGTCTTGTGTCCGCCCAAATGTCTTCCTAACTGAGCAATAATGAGAGGAAAAAGATAATGCAGGCCTTCAGTACTTGTACCAACGTTCATACTATGGCTTCCATCTTTAAAGTCCATTGAAGAAACATCGAGAGAACGGTGAATAAGTTTTATAAAAGAGAAAAAAGTAGAAAGGAAAAGAGGATCAGGTCACAACAGGAAGGGGGATCATCATTTCAACTTAGAGCTAAAAAGATTAATTAGAAATGATTCAACACAATAAGAAGTATGAGCTATAACAGTCGAAAGAGCAGTGAAAAAAGACTTGTAAATGAAATTGTACGTGAAACTTCTGAGACGAATTGTTACTCCAGGACAGAAAGTTAGAAAGTTAGAGATGGGGAAGATCATCTTTAATAAGTTGGAAAATGATCTTGGAATAATACATATATATATATTTGAAATAAATTACAATCCTTCATTCGCTTCTGGTTCTGAGCTATGATTAATTAATGATAAACAAGTCATTTTCGTTTATGATCGATTTCATCACGATTCTTCTGTTAAGCTTCGAGAGTAATTATACATTCTTATTGCTCGGAGTAGACTACCGTAGTGTTATAAAAATCTCTGATGATTCCAGTAGAGTGATTATACATTCTTATTGCTAAATAGTATTATAAAAACTCGGAGAATTCCAGTAAAATATGTTTAATCATTTTTATGATATAACAGTTCAAATAACAATTCATTAATTTTACTGTTACATCCTGGATATATATATATATATATATATATATATATATATATATATATATATATGTAACATATATATATATATATATATATATATATATATATATATATATATATATATATATATATATATAAATAGTCTCAATATCAGAGATAGAGCGTGTGTAAATATAAAATTGAACATTTAAGTCAACACTTAGAGGAAACAGTCTGTTTCATGCTTGACGCAATATATATCAATAGATAGATAGATAACCAATGGAATATATTTTTAAAAAAGAATCTTTAAATCCTTAAATGACCCATATCCCTTGTGTTTACATGCAAAGCTGCATATTATAAAGTTTCCTAAAACTAAAGTTTTCCTAAATCAAAAAAATAATTTGTAATTTGTAGACATGGTATAATGTTTACTTTAAAATACAGTTAAAATGATTTTTTCAAAAAAAAAAAAAAAAGTCAATTACATATCCATTATTTTATTAGTATATAATAGTCAACATAATATTTACTTAATTCTTTGATTTTTCCAATTTTAATATTACCTTGTTGCATTGCCCATTCAATATAAGTATAGCAATTTAGATTCCATATATATATATATAAATACCTATAAATATAGATAACTAGACTCGTTTCGAAAAACCCGCGAATCTTTGATTTGCTAATCAAATCAATCTCGAGGAAAAAAAGGTTTTAAAAAAGAAAGAGCTACAAACATGGACTTCTGCCGACAAAAAAATCGCACAGATGCAGGTCTGAAGCCCAAAGAAAAAAACCCGATACGAGTAACAACTAACTAACAAAAGAGCTCAATACAACCGTAGAGCAGATCTCTCTCTCTCTCTCTCTCTATATATATATATATATATATATATATATATATATATATATAGAGAGAGAGAGAGAGAGAGAGAGAGAGAGGCAACCGGATGTCTAGCCACACTGATGAGCTGTGATACAGCGAAACAGTCTGTCTGTGGATGACAATATATATGCTCCTGAAAAATTTATTTCGGTTGAGCTCTCTGTGGAGGAAGTGTGAGTTTGTAAACAGTGACTATTACGGCCAATAATGCAAGACTCTTCGGTAAATCGAATCGAGCTCTCTCAGTCACTCTGTGTTTATCTAAAAATAAATACACTTAAAATTCAGCTTCCTCCTGCCGTGCGCCAACGGCTTAGTGGTAGAATCCCCGACTGACGCCAATTCAATCGGGTTTCCATTCTAGCTAGAGGCAACCGGATGTCTAGACACACTGATGAGCTGCGAAATAGTTAGTCTGTGGATGATAATGTATATATATATATATATACTAGCGACCCCTTTAAAAAGGTTTTGTAGTAAAAAAATATTACAAATTATTTAAAAATAACATTTTTTTTTAATATAACCTTGTCTTCTTCACCTTATCTAAACTTTATTTGCAACAATTTGTCTGTTGTTAGACATGTCTAAAGTTTCAATTTATCTATGCGATTAATTAATAACCCACATACTTACACGCTTTGACCTTAATTTTCATTTCGTTTTTTAGATTAGATCTTTCACTCTATCGGTCAATCCAAACTTGCCCACAAGTATATTTTTGAATGATGGAATTATGGCTTTCTCCCCTCCATTTATCACTTTCAAATGAGATAATGATTTGTTTTTCTAGTTCCCAAACTAAAGTATTTTCTTCATAAGTTATCTATCATGAAGGAAACATTATAGTTCTGACACATGGATTTCTTTGTGTAGCGATGTAAATTGTATAATATTTATATATATATATATATATATATATATATATATATATATATATAAAAGACATTTTTTTATGTTTAACGTTGTTATTTATAGATACAAGTATTTAAGCAAATGCTCTGTTTATGATAAACAGTATTAAATAACATTTACCGGCCTGAATGTCCGAGAAATTTTCATAGAACGAATATTTTCTATGAAAATTTCTCGGACATACAGGCCGGTAAATGTTAATGTTTAATAAATAAATTGTCGGACCTTGTCCATTTCTTAATACATATATATATATATATATATATATATATATATATATATATATATTATTACTTTAATCTTTTATATTTATTTATTATTACGAATCGCCTCAGCTACAGAAGTAATGGCCAAACTAGAACAGCATCCACATCCATACTGTTATAATGCTCGTATCAACTCGCGGTTCGGATTAATAATATTCGAAATGATAACACTGAAACACAAGTTTAATATTACCATATTAGCGAATATCTTAGTTATTTCGACACTCTTCGCTACTTCTGTCGGACTCCTTTGTGTCTACCTTACGACTACTTCTAGAGTCACTGTAAGAGCCCATGTTCACCACATTCCACACTCTAGTGTAGCGAAGGTCAGTCCTCTTTCTACGCAACACATACCAGTTCTACAAATCGCTGATCATATCCGTCTTGGACACACCTGGTTTAGGCAAAGGAATGGCTCCAGACATTTGAGAACGAATACTTTGGAAAGCACCTCCTCATCTCCTACTGTGGGCACAAAACCGCTGACTATGTAGAAAGCAAGGTCAAAAGTCTGGTGGAATAAGCGTCAGAAGATGTCATAGTTTGGCCAATTCTTCGGCGTATCAGCCTCTGTAAGGCAGTGCTGATGCCGGACGCAGGCTTTGAGCTGGTGAGACAACATCAAAGAGTGAATAGACATGCCAAATCCGGAAATCCTGAGAGCTACTGCCAACAGATCATCTTGGATGAGGTTGTCTGCTTCTTCTGCACTTAGGTGCACCCCAGACGATTGATGAGGTCAGCTCAGTTTATTTTTTTTATTGTATTGCTTGTATTTTTTATTTTTTTTTATTTTTGTACATTGCCTGTCTGGCATATCTTGATTCCATTTAAGAAAATGTAACGTATTTTCCGGTTTACAAGATGCACTTTTTTCCTAAAAAATACCCGGGAAAATACTTGTGCATCTTCCAAGAAGAACGTAAAGCAACGCCTAAGGTAATGTAAGCTTGGACGGTCATCTAATTGGCTTGATTGATAGGGGCGTGGATTTGTATGTTGAGTCATTACACTATAATATTCGCTATCTAATTAGCCTTTTATATGATATAACCTCAGTAGTTAGCTGTTACAAGTATTTCCAAGACCATAAACTTTCTTGGAGCTGTATGGACTAGTACGTCATTACCATACAAACAAAATCGGACAGTGATAAATGTAAACAATACGTGGCGCCAATATGTAGGGACGCATGGTGAATGGGTTGTTGTATGCGAATTACTTTTCTTCTTAGATATTTTTTCCAATATTAGGGTGCGTTTTCCAAGCCGCAGCGTCTTGTAAGCCGGAAAATACGGTAGTTGGTCTGATGAGAGTAATATGGTTATATTCAACGAAATAAATAATGGTTTACTGATTACTAAAAAAATAATAAAAAAAAAAACAATATGAATCCTGGATTCAAGAAGACAGAGGATGACGCTTGACATTGCATTTAAATATTTGAAGATCGTGGTTGACAGGAAAGCAGGGTGACAGAAGAACGTGCCACATTAATTATGAGACGAGGCTGCCATTTTAGTACTGCGCTTGAATTCGTCAAGTTGATTTGCTAAAAGGGGAAAGCTCATCAGAAGATAAAAAAGAATTAGAGCCTGAGACGCAAGCTAAAAAACCGAAAAAATAAACAAAACAAAAAAAAATAGCTAAGAGCAAATGAAAGAGAGAAAAAGAAAGAGAGAAAATGTCGAAAGAGAGAAAGGATAGAATACAATTATGAATTAAATTTATGATCTGAGAAGAAATCTAAGTAAAGAAAGTAAAGAGAAAGGGATAAAGGGAGAAAGAGAGTGGGAGAGAGAAAGGAAGTATAGAGAAAAGAGAGACAGAAACACAAAAGAATAACAGAGAAAGAGAGAGAGAGAGAGAGAATGTCGAAAGTGAGAAAACAGAGAGTACAAATACAAAGTGAGGTGGTAATCTGAATAGAATTCTAAGAAAGAAAAGGAAATCAAAAGTTATTAATCAAGAAAGGGTAAAAGAGATAGATAGAGAGGGGAAGTATAGAGGAAAGAGAGACAGAAAAGAAGAAGAGAAAAAGAGAGAGAGAGAGAGAATGTCGAATGTGAGAGAAGGGAATACAAATATGAAGAGATGTAATTTGAAAAGAAATCGAAGAAAGAAACATTGAAGAAAGTAAAGAAAAAAGAGCAAAAATTTAAATAAAAGAAAGAAAAAAACAATTGGTTAATAACGTTAGAAAGAAAGGGTAAAGAGAATGAAAAAGAAAACAAACAGTTACATGATTTGGAAGCTAAAATAAGAAATAATGGGAAAGAAAAATCAAGAAACGAAGAAAGAACAAACTGGGAGGAAACCTAAAAGATTTAAAAAAATATATATAATGATCGAAAGAGAGAAAAATAGAGAAAGATAGTATATACATCAAAACAAAAATACAAGAGTCTAAGACAGAAAGTAAGAAACGGAAGGTGAAAAATAAAGAAAGGAAAGAAGAAATAAAAGCAAAAAAAAAAAAGACAAAAGATTATCACTGATTTTTTTTTTATTTTAACTTTATTTATTGAAAACAAAACAAAAAAAAAAAGATATTTTATCTCCGAGAAATAGAAAACACAGACGATACATGCCCTGATGGTCTTTTTCAAATATCCGCTGAGCAATTCAAACACATCATCCATCAAGGCGACAAGTTTTCAGCTTTATTAATAAAGTTTTTCCCATTGGTTCAGAAAATATCCCAAAGGTTGGTGGAAAGAAGCCACGTGTCATCAGAGGGTGACAAATGATGATTTGTGTATTATTTTGATTCCGAGGCATTTTTTTTTGTAATTTATTTTGAAAGCTACTTTTTCTTTTTTCACTTTCAGTTGAAAACCTTCAGCCATTCATATCTTTCTTCACGAATCTGTCCATAGCAATCATACATTGACCATATATATATATATATATATATATATATATATATATATATATATATATATATATATATATATATATATATATGTATATATATATATATATATATATATATATATATATATATATATATATATATATATATATATACGTATATATATATATATATATATATATATATATATATATATATATGAAGAAATATAGATTTAACGTATGCTATATTTATGGGATAAATTATTCAATATCAGATACACACACACCCCCATATATATACATATATATACACACATCATCCATCCATATATATATATATATATATATATATATATATATATATATATATATATGTGAAGAAATTTTGAAAAAACAAACAAAAAAAAAATCCTTAAATGTAGATAAATGAAAATTTTTTTTTTTTTTTTTTTCTTTCATTTAACTACATTTAAGGATTTTGTTTTTTTTTCAAAATTTCTTCATTCTGTCGGATTTATATCATTTATTGCTTATATATATATGTGTGTGTGTGTGTGTGTGTGTCTCTGTGTGTGTGTGTGTGTGTGTGTGTATGTGTGTGTATGTACATATACATATAGTCGAAAGTGCTCGGAAATATAGAAAAATTGGACAGTTTCTACACACTCTGTCGAACACAAAAAAAATTAAATAAAAAGCTTAACCGTAGTACCTTGTCTGTCGTTTTTAATTAAACATACATAAATGAAGTATTGCTGCCTAAATACGCTATATATATATATATATATATATATATATATATATATATATATATATATATATGTGTGTGTGTGTGTGTGTGTGTGTGTGTGTGTGTGTGTGTGTGTGTGTGTATACACAGAGATAAAATATCTTTTTTGTTTTCAATGAATAAGTTAATTTAGAATAAAAAATAAGTGAAAATCTTTCTTTTTATTTTCAGCCTTTCTTACTTTCCTTTCTTGTGTTTGGGTATATAAACAGACAACACACGTGTGTATATATATATATATATATATATATATATATATATATATATATATATATATGTGTGTGTGTGTTTGTATAGTTTTAAGTTATGCTATATTTATGGGATAAAGGGCTCAATATCAGCGATAGGGCGTATTCAAATATAAAAGTGAACATTGAAGTCAACACTGAGAGACGACAGACTCTTTCATACTAAACACAATCGTCAGCCTTGAGGAGTGCGTTTAGCATGAAACAGTCTGTCGCGTCTAAAAGTTCACGTCATTTGTACAATAATAGAGAAATATTCTTTATGATAGGATATTACATTCGAATATATGTAAAACCTGGACACTGATATTGAGCGCTTTCCAATAAGTACCGCGCATATATAATATATCAATAATATATATAAAATTTGCATATATACATATATATATATATATATATATATATATATATATATATATATATTTAAATTTAGGCAGCAATCCTTCCTTTATGCATGTTTCATTAAAAACGACAGACAAAGTACAAGGGTTAAGCTTTTTATTCAATTTTTCTTGTGTTCTGACAAGAGCTTTCTTTTCTGGACAAAGGGTGTGTAAGAACAGTCTAAAGGTATAGCCGAAAGCGCTCGGAAATATAAAACATTTGGACAGTTCTTACACACCATTTGTCCAGAAAAGAAAGCTCTTGTTAGAACACAAGAAAAAATAAATAAAATGCTTAACCGTAGTACCTTGTCTGTCGTTTTTAATTAATATATATATATATATATATATATATATATATATATATATATATATATATATATATATATATATACATATAAATATAGATAACTAGACTCTCATTTTGAAAAACCCTCAATTTTTGATTTGCTAATAATAAAATCAATATCGAGGGAAAAAAAAGGTTTTAAAAAAAGAAAGAGCTACAAACATGAACTTCTGCCGACAAAAAAATCGCACAGATGCAGGTCTGAAGCCCAAAGAAAAAACCCCGATACGAGTAACAACTAACTAACAAAAGAGCTCAATACAACCGTATTAACCCCCCCACACACACACACCTTAGGTTTTGTTTTTGTTTTTGTCACGTGGTATGATTTTGGCTATCACCTATAAATATGTGTTTCTCTTTGACTCGTTAGCCAAACTTTCACTGACGATTCGTTTAGGTGAAACCTAGGTAGGTTTGTCTGGCTCACTAGGTGTATCTATATATATATATATATATATATATATATATATATATATATATATATATATATATATCAGCGTATTCATATCTATC